TCCATCCAACCCGCGTCAAATTACTTAAACATCGGCAGTCGAAGACCTCTAGACAACGAATATTTTTCATGCGCAAATTTGGGGTCTCGCAACCATAGAGCAGAACTGGCCGCACACTGGCGCTGTATACACGAACTTTTAGTTTTAACGAAACATCGCGTCTACACCAAAGAGGTTTCAATCCTGCGTAAGCTGCTCGAGCCTTGGAAATGCGGGCGGTTACTTCATTGACTATGCTACCGTCATTTAAAACGCAGCTACCTAAGTAGGTGAAACATTCCACTACAGCTAATTCTTGACCATCACGCATCAGCGCTGGAGTAGACGACACCCAGTCTAGTAGCATCACTTTGCACTTTGAAGGTGCAAACCGCATGCCTAAAGGAGATACAGAACTTGTTAGTCTGTCAAGAGCGCATTGCGCATCCTCCATACATTCGAATAGGCATACGGTGTCATCAGCGTACTCTAAATCGCACAGCTTTTCTCTAGCTGCCCATTCAATACGTACGTTATGGAGACCAGTAAATGCGTTCTCCAGTACTTCGTCTACGAGGAAATTGAACAGGAATGGCGAAATAGGGCACCCTTGACGGACACCGCTCCTGATTTCGAACGATTTACTTACCCCACCGTAGACCCTTACGCTACCAGAAGTATGCAGATTCAACGACCTCAATAGGTTTACATACTTCCGCGGCATTCCTTTGCGGAGCACGACCCCAGAAGAGCTTCACGGTCGACTGAATCGAAGGCTCCTTTTAGGTCAAGGAACACTTCGATTGTTGACCGACAATGTGTATAACGCAGTTCGAGGACTTGACGCAGAGTGAAGATTTGGTCGATGCACCCGCGACCTGGTCGGAATCCGGCTTGTCGTTCGCGGATATTCCTCTCCCTTAAGGGTGTCAGGCAGCGAAGTATCACAGAATTCAGCACTTTTGTGTTTATCGGAATTAAACTAATCCCACGGTGGTCCGCGCAGTCGTTACGTGATCCCTTCTTGAAGATAGGGACGATCAACGATTCACCCCAGGACAAAGGGATACGCTCCTCCGTCCAAATGCTGCGAAGTAAGCTAGTAATTGAGTCGACAAGAGAATCTCCGCCCACCTTTAAAAGAATAGGGAGAAGCCCATCAGGTCCCGCAGTCGTTCCTTTCTTTAATGATTGAATGCAGCTTAGTTTTTCCGCTTCTGATTGCGGCTCGCATGTTACCACCCTTGGAGTTTCCGCCGCAATTGCTGGAATGACCACATTAGCACTAGGCCAATTGACCTGTTCACTGAAATACTCTGCCCAGCAACCAAATCGTTGTTTTTGATTGTGGATACTCTGTCCACGTTGATCGCAAATGGTCTCACTGACCGGTATGCGACGACCTCCGGTGCTGCGTATCAGGTGAAATAGTCTTTGACTATTCCCTGATGCAGAAGCTACCTCCATTTCACCAGCTATTTTGGCCCACCAATTTTCATGATCTTTCTTAAGGCTATTCCTGAGTTGACGTTGCGAGCGACATTGGACCCGATGCTGATACTGGCAGATTGGGATCTTTCGCTTTTGATCCATTAGGATTACTGACTCCTGAGAGATCCAATGCCTTCGGCGAGCTTCGGGCTCAGTCCCACAAGCAAAGTTTGCTGCTGAGTGCATCGCAAATCTAATCTGATTCCACTGTTGGTCTAATCCACTATGTCGCGGTTCTCCTAGCTCCTGTTCCAGTTTCTCCTCATAACGTGCGCAGACAGCTGGATCGCGCAGACGCTGGTGAGCTAATTCAGGAGGCAACTTCTGCCGATAACCAGTGTGTCGAAGAGTAACAGATCTAGTGAATGATCCGACTCAACGCAGGTGGTCCAGTAGGATCTGCGATTTTGTACTGAACCACGCCAACGGTAGCTTACAGCTACGTGGTCAATTTGGGTCAATGTCCCCTTTGAATTAGAACACCATGTAGCCGTTCGATGAGAGCTGTGTCGAAAGTTGGTGCTAGATAATAACAGCCGGTGATCCGCGCAGAACTGAAGTAGTCGATCACCGTTGTCTGTTCTCTGGGAGGGGAGGGTAAAATGCCCTCCTAAACAGGCTTCGGATGAGCTCAGTTTTCCAAACTGCGCGTTAAAGTCACCTGCCAGCACTATAATATCAAAGTTGCGGCTCAACCGAATAAGTTCGGTGACGTTGTCGTAAAATTCGTCCTTTTGTGAAGCGGGACTGCAGTTGGTTGGCGCATACGCGAAAATTATGAACAAACACCTTTTGTTGTTTATACCCTTCCGAACACTAACTGAACCCTGTAGCCTCATTGCATACATGCGACTATTGACGGGTGTCCAATCTATCATAGAG